GGACGGGGCGGGGGGCGGCCGCTGACTGCGCCGACAGCATGGATCTCTACCGGGAGATGCCGGCTGACCCCGAGGACGCGGGGGGAGAGGACGCAGCCCCCCCAGCGCGGTGGAGGGACCCCAGCAGCCCGCGGGGTGCTCAGGACATGCCCGGGAGGGGCTGGGACCGCTGCGGAGACGGAGAGCGTGAGCAGGAGCCGCTGCCCTCCACGGGCAACCCAGACCCGGACACCTCCTCCTCCTCCTTTCGCCTCTTCCTGGAGCAGGAGCTCGTCGGGGCCGGTAGCCCGCTCTCCGCCCTAGCCACGGGGAGGAGAAGCCCCCAGGTGCCGGGGGAGCCCCAGGATTTGGCACAGGAAGCCCCCGAGCTGCCCTGCTACCAGCTGCACTCCTGCCTGCGGCAGGGCGCGCTGCCCTCCTACTGCTGCACCACCTGCCAGCAGCTCCACGCCGGCGCCTGCGCGGCCGGGCAGGCCTGCCGTACCCGCCACCGCGGGCAGGAGCTGCGCAGCGAGAGGCAGCAGCGGCTCTGGCTGCGGCGGACAGAGGTGGACATGCTGCTGGCCGACAGCTCCGGCCCGTGGTCCTAGCCGCACCAGCTGCGGCGTGGCCGGGAGGGGATGGGGATGGCCACCGAACTCACCCCGCCGGGAGGTCGCGGTGACCGTGCCGTGCTCTGCCTCATGCCCGGGGCGGCAGGAGCCGGCCGGGCGGCGGGAGGATGGGCCCCTGCTCCAGCCCTGGCGCTCCCCCTGTAAACGGCTCAGTGCATCTCAGTAAAGAGCGGCTGCCTGGCAGCGTGGTGGTGGTCTCCTCCTGCCCTGACGCGCGGGGGCAGCGGCCCAAGCGTGCCCGTTCCCGGGGGAGGGACGCGGCCTGCGGCGCCGTCCAATGCTGCGTCACCCCGCGGGAGCAGCTCTCGCCTCGCAGGAGAGCGGGGCCGGGCCCTGTTTAAGGCCAGTTTTGGGGGGCAGAGCCCGGGGGTGTCCCCAGCCCTGGGGCTGGCACAAGGGAAGCAGAGCAGGGCCACAGCTTCTTGCAGCCCAGCCGGAGCCGAGGGACGAGGCGATTCACTCCCCACCGCTGGCAGCTGCTTTTATTGATGGCAAAGTTGGGGCTACCCCATGCAGCCAGCACCCCCGAGGGCCCCCTCTCCCTGCCGAGCCCCGGGGGGCCCCGGCCCCATCTCTCCTCTCCCGCCCCGGGGAGGAGGCAGGCCCAGGGCTGAAATCCGCCCGCAGCTCCCGGGGCTGCCCTCGCCCAGCCCCGCGCCAGAGCCCGGCCAGCTCCGGGGCAGAAGCTGCATCTGTGGTGGGTGGGTTGCAGCGCTCCCCCTGCCGCAGCTGGGCCGTCCCCGTGCCGGGAATTGAATTTGGGAGCCGTCCCGGGAGGGGATGGAGCTGTTCTGCCGAGGAAAGGCGCGCACCACGCCTCCTCCCGCGGGCTGGGGCTCAGGGCTTGGCGCGTTTCGCCTGGCTCTCCGGCCCCGCGCTGGTGCTGGCCGCCCGCTTGTTGCGGTGGTGGGGGAAGGTGGGCATGAGCTCCGGCTCGCAGGCTGCGGGGCAGAGAGGGGGTCAGCGGGGCCCGGGGCGCCCCAGCCCTGCCCCGGCAGGGCTGCCCCGGCAGGGGCTTTACTTACGCAGAGGTTTTTCCTTGAAGTAGGAGCTCTCCAGGCAGTCTTTCGCCGTCGCCCTGCGGGGACAAGGGGACGTTGCAGGCACCCCCACAAAGGCGCTGACCCGTCCCCCCCAGCTCTGGGGACAGCCCTGCCGCAGGGGTGGCGCGGTGCGGGCAGCCCCGCCGCCGGCTCTTACCGCTTCTTGGGATCGTACATGAAGAGGAAGTTGAGCAGCCGCAGCCCGGCTTCCGACAGCCAGGGGAACTTGTGCTTGAGGTTGTTGTAGGGCTGCTTCCGCAGGGTGTACTGACTCACCAGGGGCAGCCTGGAGAAACCCTGAGGGGGACGGAGCGTGAGGCGGAGGCGGGGAGAGCAGGCAGGGCAGGCAGAGCAGGCAGCAAACGGGGGACCGCTCTCACCGGCCAGATGTTTTCGTTGGGCGTCCCCAGGAGCTGCACGATGAGGTCGATCTGGTGGATCTCGGAGGTGCCCGGCAGCAGCGGCTTGTGGGCCAGCAGCTCGGCGAGGATGCAGCCCACAGCCCTGCGGGGCAGGCGATGTGCAGGAGTCAGCGGGGGCAGGAGAAGCCCCTCCGTCGCCCCCCGCTGCAGGTTTGCAGCCCCCCCCGGGCCCCCTCCTGCCCTCCCCTTACCACATGTCGATGCTGGTGGTCTGAGTCGTCATCCCCAGCAGCAGCTCGGGCGCTCGGTACCTGAGCAGGGGACAGCACCGTCTCGAGGGGACCGTGGCGGAGCCGGCGCAAAGGAAGCCCCCGCCGCACTGCAAGGACTCGCCTGCGTCGCCCTGAGCCAGCGCAGCTCAGCCCCCGGCACCGGCCACTCACCAGAGCGTGACGACTTTGGGGGTCATCGGCTTCGGTGGCATCCCGTAGGTGCGTGCCAGTCCAAAATCGGCTGCAACAGGGGAGACTCGGGATGAGGAGCCAGGCAAGCTCCTCGCTCCGACCGCGTCACGGAGCGGAGAGAGAGCTTGGGGTGCGTCCGTGGCGGGAGCCAGGTTGGCAGCTGCCGGGGGCTCACCTATCTTCACGCAGCCTTTGTCAGTCATGAGCAGGTTGGACACCTTCAGATCCCTGCCGGGGAACAGAGAGTGGCCGGTCAGCACCGTCCTTCAGGCACGGCTCCTCCCGTACCCGCGCTCCCCCGGTGCTCGCAGGCTGCTGCGGGGCCCCAGAGCTGAGCCATGGCGAGGAGAAGCAAATCTCGTTAAGCGGTGGCATCCCTGCCCTGCCAGCGCTCCCGCACGGAGCCACCAGTTCACCCGCAGCTACTCCACACGGTGCTCCTTGCTCATAGGACACTCGTGGGAGGCAGAGGAGGACATCGCGGTCTGCGGGCTCCCTCCCTCCCGTGTCCCCTTTCCCACCGCGCCCCTCCTGCTGCTCCCACCTGTGGATGATGTAGTTCTCGTGAAGGTACTGCAGGCCCTTGAGGACTTGCAGGATGATGCACTTCACCTGGAGACAGAGGACAGGAGCGCTGACCTCTGCGAGAGCAGCACCAGCCAGGCAAACCCCCAGAGGTTAAACCTGCTGGGGTGCCCTGCGGTCTGCCGCGCCCAGCACCGCTCTGCAGCGTGTCAGGCCCCGCGTCCTCCCAGAAGGAGCTCACAGGCTGGCTGGAGCGCGTTTTTTCCCAGCTTTGTTTCCCTGCCAGTTTGCTCCAGCCCAAAAGCCAGTCCCTGGAGCGTTCTGTGAGAGCCAGCTAAGCCCACGCGGCCCAGGAACCCTGGCTCACCCGGTGCTCCCCAGCCCTGCTGAAGCCCAGCACAAGGTCCAGGGATCGCAAACTCTGAGGAGTCTGCGCTGGTGGCCAGTGCATTTTGGCTGGAGCGGCAGCGCCCTCTCAGGGGTGATGTACCTAAAGCTTAGCCCAGCTTTTACCTGAGCCTCTGAAAAAGGCGTCTGCATGTTCTCGAGAAGGCTGGCTAGGTCCTGCTCGCAGTAGCCCATCACCAGGAAAATGCTGTTGGAGACAAGACACCATCAGGAGCCTGCCCCAGGTCACCTCTGCGCTGTCCCAGCGCCGCTCTGTGCTGCGAGAGGCAGCGCGGGGGACCGAGAGGGCAGGAGAGGATGGGAGGACAGAGCAGGGACTCCTACCTCTCCAGGTGGTTCCCTACAACCACCTCCTTCAGCTCCACGATGTTGGGGTGCCGAAGCTGCAGGAGCAGGGTGATCTCCCGCAGGCTGCTGATGGGCATTCCACCCTGCGGAGAGCAACAGCCGCGCTGCACGACTGCCTCGAGCAGGGGCCGGGGACGCTCCCACCCACCACCGGAGCCGCCCCTGCCACAGCTCCCCTGCGCCTCCGTTACCGTCTTTCTCGTTGTCCATCCGCACCTTCTTCAGTGCCACGGTCTCATCTGTCAACGTGTCCCGGGCCCGGTCTGGAAGAGCAGAAGCCACGCGCTCAGCACCAGAAAACAACCCACTGGTTTTGTCGTGAGCCAGCGGGACCCCTGCACCGATGAGCCGCCTCCTCGCAGCCTTGGTCCCCCCGACGGCACCCCCAGCCTGACGCGCTCCTGCTGCCGGGCTGCGGGCAGCCGGGCTGCAGCCCCTCCTTCTGCCCGGGAACCGGCTCTGCCCCGGGCCCGGAGAGGGCAGCCAGCGCCGCACTTACACACTATGCCGTAGGTGCCCTCTCCGATCCGATTCAGCTTCTCGAACTCCTTCACGCTGCGGCATCTTCCCAGCTGGAATAGAGGAGCCATGTCGCAGGCGAGGCAAGCTCCGGGCAGCCCTCCCGGGGACGCGGGACCCCGGTGGCAGGCTGAGGCCTTGAGCTACGCCTCACCGGGCAGGCTGCGGCGCTGCTCCGGTGCTTACGGAGCAGAGCAGCGTTTCGGCAACGCCGCGGGCAGAGCGGCTGGGGCAGAGGCGGCTCCTCCGGGCCCTCCTGCCCCCGGCCCTGCGGCAGCGCGCCCC